TGATAGATTGTTCTTAGATTATCTGCAATTAATACAAGTTAATAGTTAAGATATTATGCATTGCCAAGCTGTACTTACTAGGTTTGATATCCAATTCAATTTGCAATAATTAAATACTAATAATTTACAGTTGGTCGATGGCATGATTGATTATTGTTGACTGTTTAACTATTTTGCGTCAAGTGATTTGCGTTTGTTGATGTGATGTTTACATTCTGCAGGTGTGAACTCTTTGTTGGCAGACGTTGTTCGTTTCTCGTGTCCTTTGTATTTCTTTAATTTTTGCTTACATTTTCAAGTTTAACCTCACTAAAAATTTAACTATTATTACTTACGTTTCTATTTCGGATTAACAGATTTGTTTGTTAGTCTTTGGTTTCCTTATTACATACCTTTTTCTTTTGTTTATAATCATTAAATATAAATAATTTGTTTGTTTTTAAATGTCACATTCAAATTGGCTTTGAAAGACTTTGGCTATTCAAGCATAGATGGCGCTTTCCCCTCGGAAAAGTTTATTTCGTTATGTCGACGTTTATTTTTCTTTTGTCATGATAATTATATTTTGTTTAGGTTTCTTTTTGTTTTAAGTTGATGTTTAGCGGTTATGGTGGTTAGTAGACCATTATCGATCGTTAACGATTTCCTTTTTCTTAAGTTGGTATTTGTTTTTGCGTATGCGCGACCCTGAAAAGTTTCATATCCTGGTTACGATTTCCGTCCTCTTCCTTCTTCTTGCGAATGTCAATGGAGGCGGTGTGTCGTTTTGAAGCAGTTTTAAAGTTAAAGTTTCTGTGTTGAAAATCCACTGCAAGTGCAAATCATTGTGTGTAAAAGGATCTAGAAAAGTACGTCGATGAGTTCAACGTTGGCGCGAACTCTAGAAGCCTTTAGTTTTATGATTTCTGCGAAAGCACATTGGCATGGCGACCATTAACCTTTAAAACTGGTGAGTTTTCCAACTTTATCTAAGTCATCGGTCTTTAATGTTGATCGTTTATTTTTCCATGCAGTCCTGGAACGACACACCTATGCCTGGAAAAGAATATTACCGATTTTGACGATTATACCCGGATTTGACATTTTTATCCCTCTCCTGCGCGATGACAGGAATGACGTTTTGTCTAAGCCGGATTGTGTAAATCCGTAAGTACCAGGAGGTTTTGTTTGAAACAATACCCAGGATTTTTTCTCTTTTAGGGCTTCTACCTTAGGATTCTACCTTAAGATTTTTCCTTGAGATTGTATTTTGTACCGAGACTTCTTCGATACCTTGGCCTGACGCCACATTCACAATTTTGACCAACAACATTTTACCACCGCTTATCGACAACAACATTTTACTGCACAGATGCCACCGCTGCATGAACTGAATAAGGAATAGAACCTTAAGTACCTTTTTGTTTAATTATTTTGTGTCGGACATAAGAGCCGCTTAACGGGGTTGCGTTTTTTTTACAAATATTATTATAAAAGTTCTTTGTGAACCACAGATAGCTATCTTCGGTATATTAACCTTTGTTTTTTTACAAATTTGGCTAACGCACAAAACCCATTTTACATTTGACAAAATTAAAACTCAACGATATTAAACACAGTTAAAGTTCAACCACCTTTTTTTTCTTTTAAATATAACAACCTTTTTCAGTGCAGTCAGACGTTAGATTTAGTGATCAATCTAACCTTTTAAAATACTTTTAAATGATCACTTGGCGCCCACAAGGTAAGTTGCTGTTGACTTTTTAAAAACCATATGGATCCACTATACCCAGCTCTCCGCAAAGTTTACAACATGAGTAGCCGTTCGCAAAAATAGGTACCAACAAAAACCTCAACGCCACATGGTAACCACCGCTTTGTCAAGCTTTTAGTTCAGGAAACACATAATAAACATTTACATCCAGGTACTCAAACAATGCAGTATTTATTAGCACAGAATTTTTGGATATTGTCTTCAAAACAAGTCATACGCAAAGTAACTTCAAAATGTTTAAGATGCTGGAAACTAAATCCAAAATCTCCGCAACCTCAAATGGGGGATTTGCCACCCCTACGCATCTCGCAATTAAAATGTTTTTCGGTTGTCGGCGTAGACTACGCTGGCCCATTTTCTTTACTAATGAGTAAAAACCGCGGTACTCGAACAATAAAAGGTTATATATGTGTTTTTATATGTTTTGCCACGAAGGCAATTCATTTAGAATTAGCTTCTGACCTATCCAGCGAAGCCTTTCTTGCAGCCTTACGCCGCTTTATTGCACGTCGCGGAAGATGTTCTCAAATATTCAGCGATTGTGGCACCAATTTTGTTGGTGCAAATAAGCAAATTCTCAGTTATTTTAAAACCGCGGCTGCTTCTGAAAGTCTCAAATGGAGTTTTAACCCTCCTTCTGCTCCGCACTTCGGAGGTTTGTGGGAAGCTGGCGTTAAATCGGTCAAAACACATCTTTATAGAGTCATTGGTGAACAAATTCTATCTTATGAAGAATTTTATACTGTGTTAACGCAAATTGAGGCTATCCTTAATAGTAGACCGTTGTGCTCATTTTCCGTAGATCCCAATGATGTTCGAGCCCTTACACCAGGTCATTTTCTGACTCTGGAACCTTTATCATGTCTTCCCGATCCCGATTTACAATCCGTTCCGCTAAACCGCTTATCCCGTTGGCAGCTGTTGCAGCGTATGCACCAGGACTTCTGGGCACGTTGGCATGCAGAATATCTCCATACCTTATCCCAGCGCATAAAATGGACATCCGAGTCTTGTCCCATTAAGGTGGGGTCTGTAGTTCTCCTCAAGAACGAGCTTTCGCCACCCCTTCAATGGCGCCTTGGCCGTGTTGAAACGCTTCACCCCGGTAAAGACGGGGTTGTCAGGGTTTTTACAGTGCGAACAAACCTAGGCACCTTTAAGCGACCTGTTGTTAAAGTGTGTCCTTTACCGCAAGCCGATCTTCAATGATTTGCATAACGCCGCCTTTTTTAAGTTTAATTTTGTTTATTTATACCGAGAGGTATTTTCGTTTATTTTAATTTTTGGGCTTACAATTGATCTCGCAAATTTAATTTATTTTTAGTTTTTTTTTTCTCGCTTAAAACCCATGGTTTTAATGGCCGCCAGAATGTTTCGTCTTCGCGAAATATTTGATATTTGTTTAATTTGATTACATTTATTTAAATATTATATTTAGCTTATTGCCCCCCAACGCGCATGTTTATCGCAACTATTTTTAATTACCCATTTAACCGCGTGAGGGCGTAAGTGTATTAATTAATAAGAGTCCGAACCGTAAGCATCCGCGCGAACGAGAGTGATCTACCACGCGACATTATACCCGCTTTATCCCGCTTAATCCCGCTTTATCCCGCTTGTGCATCTCAACCGCTTAAAACCAACGCTAACAGCCAGAAACCAGACCAGGGCCCTGAGTGTCGTCATCAGCACCAGCAACAAGGTAGGACTTTATTAGTATTCTTACTGCCCACGTTTTATCTTGTAACATAATTCAGTCAACTAACACCACCATCCCCTATTTCTCACAGTTATACAGTCCACTGCCTACCATATTAATAACACTGAAATAGAGGAGAAATACATGATTTTAAATATTAAAACAGAAAAACAAGGGGTATTCTTATGCATATTAAACACTTGAAAATTATAACTTTTAGATTTAAGAATCTATGGTATGGAAATTAAAATAGTTGTAGCTTAGGATCAGAGCCGAATTATTACCTATACACACACACAGTATAGACAAAGAGCGGGAACCACAGAACACCAAGTTCCTACTGGTAGTAACTCTTGACCAGGTGGCTAAAGTTCCTAGCAGTAGGAACTTTAGACTCGGCGACTAAAATTCCTACTGGTAGGAACTGTAGACAGTCCCTAAATAAATTTAAGATTTCATGTAGAAAAACAATATAAATGTTACCTTTAATATAGTTTTGTATTATAAATGAAGAAACACGTGAATATATAAAGCATTGTTCACGATAAAAAAACAAGTTTTCTGTTAAAATTATTGCTAAAATACACATAATTATTCACTTAGGCATAGTACCAAAATTGTTCTTGTGTTAAATTAAATAAGTGAATCTGATTGGTTGCAATCATTTAACAGTAATAAAAATAACATAGGCGATCCATCATATGTACTCTGTACCTTAAGATAACAATACAAATAGGTATTGTTTGTTTTATTTTATATTAATTATTATGTAAAGTCGCGGCGAATGTTTCAAATTGCGTCATCAATGTCGAATGTCAAAAATCGATTTCTCGACATACGGTAAACCTAGAGGTTCCTTGGATTATATAAGAAAACAACAATAATTGTAATGTCTGTGCTTGGTTCAGAATTTGATGACGCAATTTGAAACATTAGCCGCGACAACTATATGCGCTATTTTGTTTATTATAATTATAAAATAATTATTTAATGTTTATGTAGCTTAATTTTTACTATTTTATATTTCTTTTTTAAACACCTTTAAATAGAATTTTTGTATAAAGCCATCTTGATAAAAAAGCCCATGAAAATGATTCCATATTCTATAAAATTTATGGTATTTTAAACCGTTGTATCTTTCTAGCAAGGCAAATACACAAAAAAATGTTTGTTGAAGTTTTTAATTTATATTGAGGAGAACATTCTATTAAATTTTCAAGAATTTTCGTTCAGTCCCTCTGGACGAAAAAATGCATTTTTTTCTCCAAAAATGGGAAATTTTCATAATTATGATGGTACTTCCTGCAATTTGGATAATTTTTTATAATTTTGCATTTTATATTTTAATCAATATTTATAATTACTTTAAATTATTGTATTATAGCGGAGTGCGGACGTGTTTTAAACGCTCTTAAATAAAATTATAAATTAAATTGATTTAAGTATGTCTACTTGTTTTAAATGTTCTGCTCTTATAAATGCTTCTGATGCAATAAAATGCGATAAATGTCAAAAATTTATGCATTCAACTTGTACAAATTTGTCCAGAAGTGAAGTGTTGTGCATAAAACAAAAAGACAAAGTTATAAGTTACTTTTGTGAGGATTGCAAATTTGAAATAACTCAAAATAGTCAGTTGTTAACTATAATACTGGAATTGCAAAAGGAAATTAAAGGACTTAATAGCAAGGTTAGTGAGTTAGAAAACAAATTTATAAATGTAAATGCACAAAAATCAGTTCCTGATGATTGCAAATTTATCGAAAATGTTATATTGGAATCACAGGAACGTGAAAAACGCAGTAAAAATGTTTTGCTATTTAATATAAACGAAGAAGATGAAGACTTTGAAAAAATTGCCAAAAATGTTATTACAGGTATTTCTAATTTAGTAAATACCGACAATCTTAAAATTTACCGTATTGGTAAAAAAACGGATGGCAAAAAACGTCCAGTTAAAATTGAATTTAAATCAGCTGTGGATGCAAAAACTATACTTGTCAATAAAACCAAGGTGAATGAACCTTATAGAAACATAAAAATAAATAACGATTTAACATTTTTGCAAAGAAAATATTTGGAAAACCTTAGAAGTGAACTAGAAAATAAAAACAAGTCTGATTCTAACGTAAAATATACTATTAAATACAAAAATGGATTACCAACCATTGTAAAGTTAGATTAGTTTAATAAAATACATTTTATTTATGCATCTATAACATATATGTATTAATAATAGCATATATATGTTAATAATTCCAAAATGACCACATTAAACTGTATATATCAAAATGTTAGGGGATTAAATACCAAAACAACTGCCTTCTATAATAATGCGTTGCAAATTAATTATGATATTGTGGCAATTACTGAAACGTGGCTACAAGAAGATGTAGAAGATTGTGAACTTTTTAATAACAATTATACCGTATTTCGTGCAAATAGAAATCTAAATTATTGCAACAAAAAACGTGGTGGCGGTGTTTTGATTGCAGTTAAAAAAGACATAAATGTTGTAAATGTGCCATTGGACTTAAATTATAAAAATGTCGATATAATTTGTGTAAAAATTCAGTTAGAACTGAAAAATGTGTTTATTATTGTACTTTATATACCTCCAAGTGCGGGACTGGAAGTGTATGATGACATCTTTTCTCGTATTGAACAATTTACTTTTGAAAGAGACTCAAATATTTGTATTCTTGGAGACATAAACATTCCAGAACTAATTAATTACAATGCCTCTAGGGTTCATACAAATCTTGTAAACAATTTTATAAACTTTCTATCTGTTTGTGATCTAAAGCAATTTAACAATATTACAAATGCAAATAATAAAATTTTAGACATTGTTGCGGCCAACTTTAAATGTCAAATAGAGAAAGATGATGGTCTAGTTAATGAAGATCCTCATCATCCAACTTTAGGCGTTGAATTAATACTACCTAATATTTCAGAAAAAAAAAATTGAACCTCCTAATGTATCTACATATAATTTTAAAGTAGCAAATTTTATGTTAATGTATAGATTACTTCAAAGTCAGGATTGGTCGGAAATTTATACTCAACAAGACATCGATGTAGCTTTTAATATCTTTTACAATATTATATATACAATATTTAATGCATCAGTACCCAAGACCCGAAGAAACAACAATTTTCCACCATGGTTTACAAAAGAAATAAAAAACCTACTTAAAGATAAAGAGAGAAATAGAAAATTACACAAAAAATATAAAAATGAAATCTATTTAATCGAATACAAACGACTTAGAAAAAAAATCAAAACTGATATAAATAAAGCTTATCAAAATTACACAATAAGTGCTGAGAATAATATAAGCTTAAATCCAAAACAATTTTGGTCATATATTAATAGTAAAAAAAGAACATCCCGTTTACCTCCCATAATGTACTATGAAACAAAAGAATTAACAAATGGGAACGAAATAGCTGAGGCTATAGCAGACAACTTTAAAAAAGTTTACACTAATATTCAAAATATAGATTATGACTACTTTCGACATGATGAACCAAGTAATATTAGTCCTATTGAGTTGAAGAAAATACATAACATTGATGTTTTGGCAGCAATAAAGAAACTTAAACCACGAGCAGCACCAGGTGAAGATGGTGTTCCAGCGTATATAATCAAAGGGTGCAGTGATGTGTTTGTGAATCCTCTGTGTTATTTGTTTAACTTATCATTAAAATTAAAAAAGTTTCCAAAAGTTTTAAAAAATGCAAAGGTGTCTCCACTGTTTAAGTCTGGTGATAAAACAAATGTTATAAATTATCGCCCAATTTCTGTATTGTCTTGTGTGAGTAAAATATTTGAGTCAATTGTTTATAAATATATATATAGTAATGTTGGAAATATGTTGTCTCAACATCAACATGGCTTTGTTGGTAAAAGATCAACTACTAGTAATTTACTTAATTTTATTGAATACATACATGACTCGTTGTCTAATAACGTTCAGGTTGATGTTGTATACACAGATTTCCAAAAAGCATTTGATAAGGTTAATCACAGAATTATATTGTATAAACTTAAAGCTTTTTATGGATTTACCGATAATTTTTGTGAGTTCATATCTTCGTATTTGCATGATCGTAAACAAAGGGTATTTTATAACGGCCATATTTCATCATCCTACAATTCTACCTCAGGTGTACCTCAGGGTTCAAATTTGGGACCATTAATTTTTATTTTGTTTATAAATGATATCTGTGATGTTATAAAATATTCTGAGATACGACTCTTTGCGGATGATGCCAAGATTTTTTTAAATATTTCTAAATTGTCTGATTGTAACAAATTACAAATGGATCTAAATTCAATTTTTAGATGGTCAGATAAAAATAACCTTCCACTTAATATTAATAAATGCAATACAATGAAATTTTCTTACAGGCACAATAAAATAGATTTTACTTATAGTTTAAATAATATTAATATTAATAAGGTTGAAATTGTTAAGGATCTTGGAATTTATATTGACCCAGTTTTAAAATTTGATACGCATATTGAAAATATAACTAAAAATAGTTATAAAAAAATAGGATATATTGTTAGAAATTGTAAAGAATTTAAAAACAAATCCACCTATACTCGATTATTTAATATGTATATAAGACCGCAATTAGAATATGGTTGTGTTCTTTGGGATCCTTTTTACAAAAAATATACAGCATCTATTGATAAAATACAAAGTTACTTTTATAAACTTACAAATTACTATCTTAAAATTCCCATTGAATACAATTATTTAAATTTTATAAAGTTATCTAACATTTTAACGCTAGAAAATAGAAGATATTTTGTCAAATTATGCTATTTGTACAAGGTAATTCATTATTTGGTTGATGACATTTTTTCTTTAAATAGAATAAATTTTTACGTTCCAATTTTGAAGACCAGGTTAGTCAATACATTTTTTGAAAAACAATGTTCTACAAATTATACTAAATACTCTCCCATAAATTATATGTGTATTATATATAATAATTTGCAAAACATTGTTGACATTTTTGGTGTTAATTTTTCTGTTTTTAAGAATACTTTAAAAAGATATTTTTTGGGCTTATAGTTTTTCTTATTTTGGTTTGGGTAGGAATCAAAGTTTATCAATTAAATTTTAAGATAGTTTTAGGTAACATTGTGGATATTTTTTTTTGGAGATTTTCGTTTTGTATTGGGAATACGTATTGTATTGTATTGTATTGTTTTTTTTTTATTTGGTAAATAGATTTAAGTGGGAATAGAAGTTATAATACATATTATGTAAATTAGTCTTAAGTTAATTAGTTTTAAGTTAATTTTAGAAAAAGCTCTGTAATTGGGAAAATTTTCCTGTAGAGTCTTTCTTTAATAAATAAATAAATAAATAAATAAATAAATAAATAAAAATATACACCAAATCGAATTTTCATAGCCTACTATATAATATCAATGGCAGAAAATTGACATTTTCAGTTAAAAGAATCGTAAATTTAGCACTAAAAAAACATTTGTAAAAACATTTGTATAATTTTAGGCATATATTTAAAAATCACATTGTTTTATGGTTAAAACAAAATATTAGGCGATACAAAATATTAATAAACAACTTAGTTATAAAGGGTTTTCTTAGACATCGATTTGGTAATTTTTATGCAAACCGGTCAACATGGCCCTGCCTAATTCCTCAGGGTGTTTAAATAAAAAAAAATTATTGTGGTTTTTGTTCATCCGAAGCATTGGCCTTCACACCCTGAAAGTTTTAAGAAAATCCAATAAGGTCAGCTTTCAATTTTTGTCAAATTTAGTGGAAAATAATAGAATGACTCAATAATAAAGATTAGATTATAAAAAGCTTGAAGATAATATTTATTTATGTCATAAGGTTGAGAAGTGTTTCTTTTTCTCTCTTCCTAAGCAGTTAAACAATACAATAATAAGTTTTGTAACTATTATAATTGTAGGTTTTATCATAAATTAATTATTAATAATAATTATTAAAAGTACAAAGTGGGCTGTAAAAATATTTTGGACCAATCTGATACCTGATACCTGATTACCTCATAGGCTGTAAAAAATCCGTTGGACCAATAAAAACATTCGATAACTGTCAGATCTACCTAACCTCACTGTCTACTTTTTATGATTATTATTATAATTGTACGTTTTATGTATCGTTTAACAAAAAAAATTGTGCCTTGAAGATGAAATGATAAGTTTTTTTTTGTGGTTTGCTCAAATTTAGGCCTTCGCTATGCGTTTGTAAACTTTGACCTCAGCACAATAAGTTGAAGATAACTTTAAGTATAATGCTATTTTTCACCACATGGCAACAAAAAGCGTGCTAAAATAATACCAATAGGCATGCCAGCACCAAAAGTTTTTGCAATATTTTAGCTAAATCAGTTGTAGACCTGGCTTAAGTGGAAGTAGGTTTAAAATATGTTGTAGACAAAAAACAAACAAATAAAGAGACAAAAAGCGAGTTAATAAAAACGTTTAAAAATCTAGCAATTTGTATATTTATAAAATTTTATTTGCAATAGTAAAATTATAATTTTTTTTAATGATTTTTGATAAACGGCGTTAATATTATTTTTCCTCCATGATTCATACAAGCGGACAAGCAATCTAGAAAATTATAGCTTAATACTTCCTGTGCTTTTCAGACAGATCTTTTAACATGTTTAAATAACAAATTTTATCGTCAAAACACAACAATTATGTTTACTTTTGGTGTTGTCACCCACCTGCGCCATTGGATATACTTGATTAGCGTATCAAATAGGTATATTATATTTTTCCTAAAATGACAAATAAATTTGCATCTAATTGCCGTTTTATTTTATAGTTTTTTTAACTTAAAATTTTTAACCTTACGATCTCTGTTAATACAGGGGTCTAATAACAAAAACATCAAACTCCAATATTTGTTATCAAATTCCATCACATTTATCAAAATTTTCAGTTCAGTTAAAATGACTGAGTCAAAATATCATACCTCATATTATTGCTCATGCCTATAGCGTATTTTTCAATTTCTGAAAATGTACTCAAATGTAGTTTGGACTTTTGTTTGCTTGTAGTGTTCGGTTGCTAAACAAAAGAAACGTGAAATATATGTGACTTCTTGACCTAGGAGGCACAAGATGGTGGTCCTAGTATAGAAACATACCTGTATT